AGAATTACGATAAAATAAAAAAATGCACCAAACTTGAGACAATTTTAAATTTGTATATTCGACCTTTGATCATACTTTAATTAAAGCCACATAAATATTCATTAACAAACGTGAATATTGATAAATCTGTACACAGTACTTACAAATAGATATGCATTCTGATTTAAAATGCCGCTCACAAAGGTGAATAGTATTTCCATCTATTTGATTCTTGAGGTCTGGGGTCATCTCTCTCGTCCTCGTTATCAATCGAAGCCATTCTTCTCGAGCTTTTGTTTTTAAAGCCTTCGTATACTCACTATCACTTGCGGAAACCACTGGGATTTTAAATAAAGATATTTTCTTTTTCCCGCTGCTAAAGCAGCCGAAAAATGCTCAATTGGCACCGGGCATTGCTGCGAATCACATAATGAAACGCAAAAATGTATCCAATATCCAAAATATTGTATAAAAACGACGAGTTTTGAAGACAGGCAGACAGCCGATTAGAATTTGCGGTGAAAATCTATGCGCAATATGACCATACGCTGATACCTGATACACTCCGTATTCGCAGCTGTTCTCAATAAACGTACAGCTTCTTTTCGTTCCGTTTTGATGACAGATACGTGAACATTTATAACATTTTAATTCTCTTTGAATTACTCTCCAAAAGTGTGGGTATTTTGACCATTCCATATCTGCTTTATTCTCGGCTTTTAATTTCTTATTTTTTTCGAACCCATGTTTCAAATAACAGTGTTTGCTTCTCAACGTACTTAATACGAACCACACGTACATATTCTTTGGATTTTACTTTGTGAAACAAAGCGAAATATGATATTTTATCTCGAAATTTGATCCGCTCCAATAGAAAAATATACAATGTTTACACGAAGCATACCGCTTCATGGTCACGTGCCGTAAATAAACTGAGAACAATGACATGTTTTGTGACGTCATGGGCTAGCCTAACCATCTTAGTCTATTAACCGTGGTGCTACATTGTTTTCATTACTGATAGATGGCTGATTGTTCTGCGAGTTTTCTTCATAATCGAAATCTTCATCATCAGTGTCTTCTTCTCGTGGTTTATTTATTCGCTTGAAATGTGAAACGTTGCGTTTCACAATATGACCATCTTTACTTTGGGCAAGGATCTCTGAACTAGTTTTCTTTATCACTTTATACGGTTTGTGATTAAAATTCGCAGTTAGCTTGTTTTTCTTTTCTTGACTAACCAGTACATAATCTCCAACTTGTAGATCACTTTTTCTTGTGTTTCTCCTTTGATTTGCATATTCTCGGTTGCGTTCTTGTCGTGTTTTCCCATTGTCTCGAGCTTCTTTATGTCGATTGACAATCTTCTTGCTGTTTATAACTGGTAATTTTCCTTTTATCACTCGGTTAAACAACAAAAATCACGTGTGTGCTCGAGTGAGTACGGACGCGAATTTCTGTGCTCTTCAGCTTTAGCTCAAAATCTACTAAAATGTCAAAGGACACTATAAAATCTTTAAAGAAAGAAAACGACGAGTTAAGGGTTGAAATCGAATCAATCAAGAATGATTTCAAGAAGTTTGTACAGGATGTTAAATCCAGTGAAACCAAGAGCACTACAAACGCCGCAATGGCAAGTTCAGCGCTGGATAAAGAATCAGTCAAAAGTCTGGAATATTTGAGTAATGAGTATGATGATTTGCACCGTTTTCGAAATTCGTCTAAACAACAAATGTCGCGACTGGAATCTCGCCTAACTGTATTAGCAGAAAAGGTCGAAAATCTCTCCAAATCTATTGACGAAGCCGAGAAATACAGCTACGCATATAACGTGAAAATGTTGGGAATACCGGAATCCAGCTCGAATGAAACTGCAGCTGAGACAAGCCAGCTATGTGTCGACATTTTCAATGCCGTAGGAGCAAATGTGTCTATTTCAGACATTGATATTGCTCATCGCGTAAAGCCACGAAGGAGTAATGGCAGTCAGCCAAAACCGATTGTCTGCAAATTTGTTCGCCGCCTAGCACGGGAACAAGTTATGGCCGTGAGACAAAACATAAAGAAAATAGACCCCACTCGCGCTGGCCTATCTCGAGAAACATCAATGGAATATGCTGGGATTTACGATCATTTAACCCCAAAACGTCAACAACTTTTGGTTGCTGCGAAAAAATTTAAATCTGACAACAACTTCAGTTATTGTTGGACAAAAAATTCTACAATCTATCTCCGGAAGACTAAAGAAGCAAGGGCAATCAAAATCAATGATAATCACGACTTGGAGACCTTAATGAATGAACAGGGACGTAGGGACAGCTAAGTGGAATTTTTGTAATTTACCGTCATGGCAAACATGAGTCTAAAGACTAAAAGCAGTGCTAATAAAGCTCTTCTTCAAGAACTACCTTTTTCAAACCTTTGGCCCGCTCAATTTAATAATTTATTTAAAAACAGTAGCTTTAGTAATTCTTTCCTACCGACAAAAAAAGACCTTGATCGCTTGACTAGCATTCACGATTTGGACCTTTTTAATTTGAACATGCATGAGAAAAGATCGAACAATGTAAATGATAATTACTATTCGCAAATGCGTTGCAAATATTATTCGCCTCACAGCTTTAATCAACTTAAAGAAACCTCTAATCTATCTACTGACTGCAATAATAAATTTTCCTTACTACATAATAACATAAGAAGCCTAAAGAAAAATTTAGAAAATTTACAAACACATCTCCTCGATGAACTTGCCTATAATTTTGATGTAATTGGTGTTACAGAAACTAAAATTAAGCAAGACGTTTTTATTGATTTTAATCCCTCAATGCCAAACTACAACTTTGAATTTGTACATACACCATTAGCTGCTGGAGGAGTAGGCATGTATATTAATAGTAGTCTGAAGTATAAAATACTTGAGAAAAGCTCTAATGAATCTTATCAGGCACTGTGGATCGAAATTCAATCACCGAAGAATGCAAACATAATATGTGGTGTTATTTACAGGCAACACAATTCACCGGAACGTTTCTTAAGCTATTTCGAAGAAACTATTGAAAAAATGAGTGCATCCGGTAAACCCATTTACCTAATGGGCGATTTTAATATCAATCTTCTTCTTTCTGAAACATGTAATCACGCTCAAAATTTTATCCTCTCTATGCAAAGTTTCAATTTAATGCCTACTATAGACAAACCAACACGTGTACATAATGACTCGGCAACACTCTTAGATAATATTTTTGTAAGCAAATTAGAAAATAATATTACATCCGGAAATATTGTCTCACATATAAGTGATCATTACTCTCAGTTTTTTATCACTCATTCGAACGTAAAAGCTAAAACTAATTTTGCAAACAAACATTTAACTCGAGACTATTCAAAGTTTTCAGAATCCAACTTTGTCAATGATCTTTCCCGTGCTGGTTTGAATCATGCTGTTGATTTGAGCGAAAATGATATAAATAAATCGTTTTCAACATTTTACAATAAGTTAAATACATATGTTTGCGATGTTACTCTGAGTGCATATCCACACCGGGCGAGCTTGAAAAATATGCCCGGCCACGGTGGGATTCGAACCTACGACCTTTGGAATACTAGCCCCATGCTCTTCCAACTGAGCTACGCGGTCAGGACGGTTCGAGTAAGTGATAAAAAAAAAATCATATTACTAGAACACATTGGTATTGAAGGAACTAGATACTGTTCCGAAATATCACTTACTCGAACCGTCCTGACCGCGTAGCTCAGTTGGAAGAGCATGGGGCTAGTATTCCAAAGGTCGTAGGTTCGAATCGCACCGTGGTCGGGCATATTTTTCAAGCTCGCCCGGTGTGGATATGCACTCAGAGTAACATCGCAAACATATTAAATTCACCTGAGTACACAACACCAACACAAAAAAATTCAAATTTAAGTTAAATACAGTTATCAAAAACCATGCTCCCCTAAGCGTAAAGCAAAGCAGTTAACCAAACCATGGATAACTAAAGGTATCAGGAAATCAATTAAAATTAAGAATAGGTTATATAATCGCGGTGATAAGGATAAATATAAATTCTATAGAAACAAAATTTTGACACTCACTCGTCAGAGTAAAAAGGATATTATCATTGAGTACAACTTTGCAAACGCTAAAAAGACCTGGGAAGGTATAAACGAATTAATTAATCGGAAGAAACAGTCAACTAGACCCATCTCGTCTTTAAAATGTCCCATCAGCAACAGAATGATATATGATGAAAGTAAGTTTCCAAATATATTCAATAAATACTTTTCATCAGTGGGTCATAATTTAGCTAGTAAAATGCCAAATTCACAAATTCCATTCACAAATTACTTTCCAAAGATAAATAACCGAGGATCGTTTCAATTTAATCCTATCATGCCGCACGAGATCGAAATAGAAATTATGTTAATTCCAATGAAAAAGGCACATGGCCTATACTCATGCCCAACTCGTATTTTAAAATGCGCTAGACACGTTTTATCGAATCCTTTATCTGATTTAATGAATAAATCGGTTGAATGCGGCCAATACCCAGCTAAATTAAAACACTCAAAAGTTATCCCTATTTACAAAAAGGATGATGAAACCGATCCTTCTAATTATAGACCAATATCTCTTTTATCAATCTTTAATAAAATTTTTGAAAAATTGATGTATAATCGTTTAAAATCTTTTCTTGAGAAACAAAATATCATATTTAAATCTCAGTATGGTTTTCGTGAAAAATATTCAACTCAGCATGCAATTTTAGATATAGTAAATCAAATCAAATCTAACATGTCTCGTAAATTGTTCACTTGAGGTATTTTTATTGATTTGCAAAAGGCATTTCACACTGTAAACTATTCAATACTTTTAGAAAAATTGCATCATTATGGAATAAGAGGAGGCCTACTCTGGGGCGGTAAATCGCCTTAAATCGCTGCGATATAATGCGATTTTGGGCGATTTTAGGCGATTTAAGGAAAAACTGGGACTTTCAAGCACTGCGATTTAGTGCGATTTTAGGCGATTTAAGAAATTTTTTTAAATTTTAGGGATTGCAATTTAGGTGTTTTCAAAGGAATTGAATTCTATAGTTTGCTCCGGTTTCTTCCCACAGGGCAAAATTGGCAGGGTGGGTTAGGATAAACACAGTTAGGAAAGTAATATCATATCCTCATTGTTGTCAAGATAAATAGTCTAGGCTAACATAAGTAATCATAGTACTTGATGTAATCGATCACTGAGAAGCCCCAATGTGGGGAGTGCGCGGAATAATAATGTAATGTTTCCACACACATTTGCATTGTATGAAGCAAAATACAATTATTAGAACATGTATGTACATTTTATATAAAGCTAGGTTAACTATTGTATTTAACCTGATTCACATATAAAGCTCAATATTCATGAACTTTTCACCCATTCTCTATTTAGAAGCCATTGGGTTCATCTTGGACCCCATAGCAGGGTGTTAGCTAGCCCATATGCTGTCCGTTTGACGGACTCTTCCCAATTGAGGGCTTTCCCAACTGGGTCTACTGGAAAATTAGCATGTGTCCCCCAAAATTTTAACGGTCGGGCAAAAATCAATCCGAAATTGGTCAAAACCTAAAAATTTCAATATTCTGTGAAAATTTTTTCGCATTTGGCGGAAATTACGGAATATTTCTTTGATACCTCCTGAAAAATTTTTTTGATGACCCCCCCTCCCGCTCGCCAAGAATTTTGGGAAAAATATTCAGCTAAGTCCAGTTAAAACTTTCCCAATTTACGTTTAACGGACAAAACATTTTTTTCTGGCTAACACCCTGCATAGCTACATTTATATACACCACAAATATTATAAACAGTTAATATACTCTACTTAAGGGGCATGAACTACACATATCGAGTTAAAATTGCAAGATATAATAAATATTTGATTTCCAAAAAAATCACAAGGGGTAGGGGGTAGAAACACACAATGTATTTATACTGTATAACTGATAGACCATAATCCCAAAATTTACCTTGTCACCCTTGTAAGTGAAATTGTCTTGTTTTGTATCATGTCAAAACTTCTTTATTTAGCTTATATTTTATTTAAACTGTTTCAATCTCGTGCTTTCTTCATGCTACAAACATACCGGTATTTATATTTTTTTATATCTACTGTACATCATATGATATCCCAGTGCCATATCACAGAATAAGGTTATCGCCATATCACGCACAATGTATTTATACAGTTACAATAAGCTATAATCCTATAAATTACCTTGTCACCCGTCCCTTGTAACTGAAATTGTCTTGTTTTGTATCTTGTCAACACTTCTTTATTTAGCTTGCATTTTACTCTGCATTTTATTGAAACTGTTTCAACAAACATGTTTTATAAAATTATGTTTCATATTTACATCCAGAAACAGTATCGTACTATCGTCACGCATTCGGAAACTGTCGGCGTAATGCCGTAATGTTTAAATTACATGAAGTATATCGTATGTAAATGGTTGGAATTCTAAATTATTTTAAAAATGGCGCACTACAACGTGGTTTTAGGTTCTGCAAACAAACAACACCAAAAGATCTATTGTATGGTATGTAAGATGTAATCATTGTTTTACTGTTTATTGTATTTACAGGTCTGGAAAATTTAATAGACGAGAGTTGCAAATCGCTCATATAAACCTCACGTATATTTTTCGTTTGATAGCCACTATAATTATAACTAGGAGCTAGAGTATAACCATGCACATGTGGAAGTACAACCATTGTATACAATGCAGTGCTCGATCGTACATGCAACAGTGCACAAATTACAAGATGACTTTATTATATAAATCAACACTCGTACTCATTGACTTTCGTAGTTTCCTACTGTTGTTCTAATTAAAGCCTGGTTCACATATGTCTGCGATGTGTCGGCGGGCTATTGTCTTAGCAGTTCTTCACAAAAGAATGCATCAACAGCTGTAAACGATGACGTTGCAGGCATATCGCAGACATGTGAACCAGGCTCAACAGCAATGTAGCTAGATTATAGATTAATTCGTAGCCCAGCCTCCATAGTCCATATAAATTGTAGCCCAGCCTCCATTTACACCAATAATGAAATTAGCTCATTCTGGTAACTAGCTCAATTTTGTTGCTTGCAGTGTATCGGATCTATGGGTCTTTCAGATCCCAGAATTACCTAATTATTGTAAAGTCTGCATAAAGCAGAAAAGGCTCTGTTTTTGTCAATGACCGGTGCCTATTGAGTGACCAAATATTGTCAGCCTAATCCACTTATTTGATTGCTAATTCATGTTGCATTACTTTTCATTGCAAAGCACCTGGATTACATGATTTGCCCGTAAAATAGCAGCAATTGATAAACTTGAGTACATGGACTGAATGTATCAGGCAGAATGCATGTTCGCGATTTTAAGCCATTTTAGGCGATTTTAGGCGATTTAGGAGAAATTCGAGTCTCACTAGCAACTAAAAATTACATTAAATACCTCGGTGTTCTCATGGACTCAAATCTTTCATGGAAATTTCATATTGAGTACATCGCCTCTAATCTTAGCAAACGAATTGGCATAATTGCTACGCTGCGTCATTTTGTACCAGTTAGTACATTAATAAGTATCTATAAGTCCCTTATGCTGCCTTACCTAACTTATGCTATTGTTGTATGGGGATGTGCTGCCAAATGTTACATTGATAAAATCCTTAAACTCCAAAAACGTGCCCTTCGCTTAATATATTCTGCACACTATCTGTCTCATGCCATTCCTTATTTTCTGTCAGCTAATGCTCTGCCAATAAATTTGTTCTATTGCAAATCAGTATCAATACTAATGCATGACGTATCAAGTTCAGTAGTACCCCCAAATATTTCGGCTTTGTTTACCCCATTAAGTCAGGTACACGAACACAACACCAGATCTTCCACTAGGAAGAACTTCCACGTCGAATATTCAGGTTTAGATGTGCAAAGCAAATCATTCTCAAGAATGGAGGTAGAATTTGGAATAGCATTCCTACAGAACTACGTGAAAAATCAAAGAATCACTTTAAAAAAGTTTTACATAGAAAGTTACTTCAAATATTAGAAAAGAAAGATAACTATATTGTTATTCTAACAATACAAAAAGAAATCGCAATAATCTAAAAGTTAAATTATTTTATGATCCTGAATTTAAGTCAGATCATTCGTTAGACATTATGTTTGTATATATGGTGAATGTATTTCTATCATATATATGCCTTTTGGTGTTGAATAGAGCTTGTATTTACAAAAGATTTTTGAAATCTTCTTTAATTCCGAATTTGTGTAGTTGCTGTCCACCACGATTAGCTTTTGCTATTTGTGGACAGCAACATTTTATTGATTTTGTAAATTAATTTGACTTAATAAAATTGAATCGAATTGAATTGAATTGGTCCCTGGCGGTTAGGACAAGGTTCCTGCCGGTGAGGACAAGGTTTCTGACTGTAAGAACAAGGTTTCTGGCGGTGAGGACAAGGTTACTGGCGGTGAGAACAAGGTTCCTGTCGGTGAGGACAAGGTTACTGGCGGTGAGGACAATGTTCCTGGCGGTGAGGTCAGGTACACGAACACAACACCAGATCTTCCACTAGGAAGAACTTCCACGTCGAATATTCAGGTTTAGATGTGCAAAGCAAATCATTCTCAAGAATGGAGGTAGAATTTGGAATAGCATTCCTACAGAACTACGTGAAAAATCAAAGAATCACTTTAAAAAAGTTTTACATAGAAAGTTACTTCAAATATTAGAAAAGAAAGATAACTATATTGTTATTCTAACAATACAAAAAGAAATCGCAATAATCTAAAAGTTAAATTATTTTATGATCCTGAATTTAAGTCAGATCATTCGTTAGACATTATGTTTGTATATATGATGAATGTATTTCTATCATATATATGCCTTTTGGTGTTGAATAGAGCTTGTATTTACTAAAGAATTTTGAAATCTTCTTTAATTCCGAATTTGTGTAGTTGCTGTCCACCACGATTAGCTTTTGCTATTTGTGGACAGCAACATTTTATTGATTTTGTAAATTAATTTGACTTAATAAAATTGAATCGAATTGAATTGAATTGGTCCCTGGCGGTTAGGACAAGGTTCCTGCCGGTGAGGACAAGGTTTCTGACTGTAAGAACAAGGTTTCTGGCGGTGAGGACAAGGTTACTGGCGGTGAGAACAAGGTTCCTGTCGGTGAGGACAAGGTTACTGGCGGTGAGGACAATGTTCCTGGCGGTGAGGACAAGGTTCCTGGCGGTGAGGACAAGGTTCCTGGCGGTAAGAACAAGGTTAATGGCGGTGAGAACAATGTTCCTGCCGGTGAGGACAAGGTTACTGGCGGTTAGGACAACGTTGCTGGCGATGGGTGAGGAAATGGTTCCTGCCGGTGGGTGAGGACAAGGTTCCTGGCGGTGAGGACAAGGTTCCTGGCGGTGAAGACAAGGTTCTTGGCGGTGACGACAAGGTTCCTGGCGGTGACGACAATGTTCTTGGCGGTAAGGACAAGGTTTCTGACGGTGACGACAAGGTTCCTGGCGCAGAGGACAAGGTTCCTCGCGGTGGGGTCAAGGTTACTGGCGGTGAGGACAACGTTGCTGGCGGTGGGTGAGGAAATGGCTCCTGCCGGTGGGTGAGGACAAGGTTCCTGGCGGTGAGGACAAGATTCCTGGCGGTGAGGACAAGGTTCTTGGCGGTGACGACAAGGTTCCTGGCGGTGACGACAAAGTTCTTGGCGGTAAGGACAAGGTTCCTGACGGTGACGAAAAGGTTCCTGGCGCTGAGGACAAGGTTCCTCGCGGTGTGGACAAGGTTCCTGGCGGTGGGGACAAGGTTCCTGGCGGTGAGGACAAGGTTCCTGGCAGTGAGGACAAGGCTCCTGGCTGTAAGGACAAGGTTCCTGGCGGTGAGGACAAGGTTTCAGACGGTGAGGACAAGGTTTCTAGCGGTGAGGAAAAGGTTCCTGGCGGTGAGGACAAGGTTCCAGGTGGTGAGGACAAGGTTCCTGGCGGTGAGGACAAGGTTCCTGGCGGTGAGGACAAGGTTGCTGGCGGTGAGAACAAGGTTCCTGGCGGTCAGGACAAGGTTCCTGGCGGTGAGGAAAAGGTTTCAGACGGTGAGGACAAGGTTTCTAGCGGTGAGGACAAGGTTCCTGGCGGTGAGGACAATGTTCCTGGCGGTGAGGACAAGGTTCCTGGCAGTGACGACAAGGTTCATGGCGGTGAGGAGAAGGTTCCTGGCGGTGAGAACAAGGTTCCTGGCAATGAGGACAAGGTTCTTGGCGGTAAGATCAACGTTCCTGGCGGTGACGACAAGGTTCCTGGCGGTGAGGACAAGGTTCCTCGCGGTGGAATCAAGGTTACTGGCGGTGAGGACAACGTTGCTGGAGGTCGGTGAGGAAATGGCTCCTGCCGGTGGGTGAGGACAAGGTTTCTGGCGGTGAGGACAAGATTCCTGGCGGTGAGGACAAGGTTCTTGGCGGTGACGACAAGGTTCCTGGCGGTGACGACAATGTTCTCTGCGGTAAGGACAAGGCTCCTGACGGTGACGAAAAGGTTCCTGGCGCAGAGGACAAGGTTCCTCGCGGTGTGGACAAGGTTCCTGGCGGTGGGGACAAGGTTCCTGGCGGTGAGGACAAGGTTCCTGGCGGTGAGGACAAGGTTCCTGGCGGTGAGGACAAGGTTCCGGCCGGTGAGGACAAGGTTCCTGGCGGTGAGGACGAGGTTCCTGGCGGTGAGGGCAAGGTTCCTGGAGGTGAGGACAAGGTTCCTGGCGGTGAGGACAAGGTTACTGGCAGTGAGGACAAGGTTCCTGCCGGTGAGGACAAGGTTCCTGGCGGTGAGGACAAGGTTCCTGGCGGTGAGGACAACATTCCTGGCGGTGAGGTCAACGTTCTTGGCGGTGAGGACAAGGTTCCCGGCGGTGAGGACAATGTTCCAAGCGGTGAAGACAAGGTTCCTGGCGGTGAGGAAAAGGTTCCAAGCGGTGAGGAAAAGGTTCCTGGCGCTGAGGAAAAGGTTTTTGGTGCTGAGGAAAAGGTTTTTGGCGTTGAGTACAAAGTTCCCGGCGGTGAGGACAAGGTTCCTGGCGGTGAGGACAAGGTCCCTGGCGGTGAAGACAAGGTTCCTGGCGGTGAAGACAAAGTTCCAAGCGGTGAGGACAAGGTTTCTGGCGCTGAGAAAAAGGTTTTTGGCGTTGAGTACAAAATTCCTGGCGTTGAGCACAAGGTTCCTGGCGGTGAGGACAAGGTTCTTG